CCCACCCCACCCTACCTGCACCGCCTGCCGCCCCAGTGCTGGGCTTCCCCCCACCAGCGCTGACTCCGCCTGCTCCCCCCTCACCTCCAGCCGGTCCAGCGCTGGCAGAGTCGGGGTAAGCACCAGGGCTCCCGGGCTGTGCCTCAGCCCAGGGTCCCTCCAGCCAGGGACCACCCCGGCAGGGAGCTGAGAAGCCGGGGCAGGGCAGAGGGAGCGGAGCCCCGGAGAGCAGGACGCGGGCCCCGCACGGCAGCGCCCCGCCCTCTATGGCCCCGCTCCTGCTACTGCTCCTGGCCGCCCTGCCGCAGTCCCTGGGCGGCTCGGGCTGCTTTGCCCAGCCCCGGCTCTGTGTGCCCCGAGGGGTGGCCCCCAGCCCGAGTGTCCCGCGCTTGGAGCCTGCCTGGCCATAAGGTGCGGGCGCTGCTCCCCGATGCGAACCGCAGCAGCCCCAGGGTGCCCCCGGTGCAGGACGTGCTGCTGCTGCCAGGGCCGGCTCTAAGCTTTTGCCGCCCAAGCGACCAAAAAAAAAAAAAAGAGGCTGTCTGGAATACCGCCCCTGAAAATGTGCCGCCCCAAGCACCTGCTCGGTTTGCTGGTGCCTGGAGCCGGCCCTGCTTAATACACTCCCAGGGTGCTGAAAGAGTTCCCAGCCCTGGGACAACTGGAGCAGAAGAGCGCAGCAGCCACCGTCAAAGGAGCCCACATTCTGGGCCCATGGGAAAAACTCAGCCTGTTTCTTGCAATCGTCAGCTGTGCAGAGGCCTGGCTACAGGGAGGGGTTCTACTGGAGCTGGGTGGGAGTGAAAGCCGGGGGCATGCTATTTTTGTACACTTGGTGGGCCGAGCTCTTCCATACCCAGTCTGATATCCTGGGTTGAATGTTCCCCTGCAGCCAGCTACTTGGGACCTGCCAAACTCACCGGTGCCACAAATCCCATTGCTACCTGCAAATGCGCCCTTGCCTGCGCGGATCCAGCTTCTTCTCATGCATGGCCAGTTTGTTAGAGCCAGATGAATCTCAGAAGTTTGCTTTGGAGGAGCTCGACTGGCCATTTCCAGGGTGGGTCCCTCTGGGGTTCACGGCCCACAAGTTTTGCTTTGAGTTTCTGGTTCAAACAAACTTCAAACCTCAGAGGAATTCAATCAGAACGTCTGGGTCTCCCCCTATTTCACCTGAAACCACAAGTCCTGGGCAATTTCCATGCACGGCTCTAAACTGATCCAAATTTGTCCAAGACGAACAGCTTCCCCCAAGCAGTGCAGGAGACTCAGCCAAGCGAGTCTATGACTCGCGCTGGTAACAAAAGTTGCTAGGGTCTCACTGGAAGTGTTTCACACAGCTCCAGGATTGCGAGCCCATTTACAGGATCTGTGCCTGTGCCTCCATGTGAACGTGTCCCCTTTGGCCTTGCCTAGAACAATGCTGTCTCACCCTCTTATGTGGAAAGAAATTGCCCTGCGCCATCCCAGGGGAAAGCTGTGAAATTACTGGCCTACAGACCCTATGGGTTACAAAGCACAACACTTACTTTGTCCTTTAAGATGTAGAGAGCGACTGGATTCCTGCGTTCATGTTCTCCGCTGCGGGGGACAATCTCAACTGTACAGAAACAGCAACAAACTTCGGTGACATTTCTGATTAATAACTGGAGAAGGACTCTACACACAGCGTGTGTGTGTGTCTGTGTGTATGTATGTGTGTGTGTATGTATGTGTGTCCATCTGTCCATCCCAGGCCAGACCCGGTGTGTGTGTGTTAGAATCTTCCTGGTTTTGCTTAGATTCCAGGAGCAGGACAAAGACTCAAAGTGCAAGTTCACCCAATCTTCCAGTCTCCATTAAGTCAGACTTACTGAGCTAGAAATCCTGCCTGTTGTTTGTGTGACTGGATTACACTAGCAGTGCAGGCACAGGCCACCAAGCACAGAATCACACACAAGCGGGGTAAAAACATGCCCACGCGGGATTGTGCTGCACAAAAAATAGATCAGGAGTGGGCAGAGCTGGCAGGTCCCTCCCGAGCAGGGCCGGCTCCAGGCACCAGCCTGGCAAGCAGGTGCTTGGGGCAGCCGCTCCGGAGAGGGGCGGCACGTCCAGGTATTTGGCGGCAATTCGGCGGACGGTCCCTCACTCCGCTGGGAGCGAAGGACCTCCCGCCGAATTGCCGCCGCAGATCGCGATCGCGGCTTTTTTTTTTTGGCTGCTTGGGGTGGCCAAAACCCTGGAGCCGGCCCTGCTCCCGAGTGTAATATTTAGACAAACTCTGTGGGCAGCCCCCCAAAGGCTGAATCATAGCAGGACCCTGAGATCACAGGCATCAGCTACTAAAGTTTAGGGAGCAAGAGTCGGCGGCTCTAGGGGTGGCTTACGGCACATAGGACCCCTCCTCTCCTGGGCTCCATATGAGAGATTGGCTCAGATACAGGAAAGGGAAACAGGACTTTTTTGCTCAGATTCATGGTCTGTGAAAAATCAAACAGGAGCCAGGGGGTTATGGAGGAGAGGCCCATCAATGGCTATTAGCCAGGAGGGGCAGGGATGGTGTCCCTAACCTCTGTTTGCCAGAAGCTGGGAATGGGCGACAGGGGATGGATCATTTGATGAGGTTCATTCCCTCTGGGGCACCTGGCATTGGCGACTGTCGGTAGACAGGATACTGGGCTTGATGGACCTTTGGTCTGATCCAATATGGCCGTTCTTATGTTCTTAAACAAGCCCCTTTATACCCTCCCCCACCCCAAACAGGCCGAGTGACACAACACTTGCTTTAGGATCCCATCTGGCCTCTGGTTTCATGCGTGCATACAGAGCCCCACTGAAGGAACAGGGTCTTAAGCAGAAGCCAGAATAAATGAAGGGACTCAGGAGCTAGAAAGCAGAGAAATCTAAAAACAGTTTTTTTGCACGAGCACGGGCGCTCCAAAGCCTTCCGTGCATCAGTCACAGCCACAGATTTCCCTCCTCCGTGCGAAGCAGGGCTTCCATTGAACAGATGCCACAGAGGAGTGGTTACATGCCTGAACCGCCCCATGCCGGGAGCTCAGGATTACTAGCTGAAAGAATGCCCAACTGAAAGAGCGTGCAAAACATCACAAGGGAAATTGTGTATGCACATGTGGGCAGGAGCCACCAGCGCTGTATTTGTTACCGCTTGTCTCTTCCTGCGGGTTTGTCTCAAGCGTGGGCTCGGTTAGGCCTGTAGCCCGTTAATCCTGGCTCTGGGATGGTGCACTGCACCCTGAGCACGGGCAGGGACATTTCACCCACACATTGATTATTCAGGATAACGACGTGATTAAACATCTTCAGACTCAATTTCTGGCTAATGCATCCCTGGGAAATAATTGCTCAGGACAGAGCCCGGTGCTCTTTGTTATACAGGAAGCCAGGACAAAATCTAGCCCGTTGTTATTTATTGTACATGACTTTGACCCAGCTAGCGTTTACGAGTGGCTCTTGTGCTACCCAGCCTGCGGAGTCCCACGGTGACAACTGCACCTAATGGCAAGGGTTTGCAGGTCATAAGAGTCATTGCATAAGAAGAGGGTCACTAAGGAGCCCTGACAACAAGCTGTTACCAGCTGTTTTCCGAGCTTCCCCGTGTGTGTAAACAGGAAAACTCCTCTTTGACGGTTTTCTTTGCCTGCAGAGGTGCTGTGTTAAGTGGTTGCAAATAGCCACAGAAGTTGGCGGGATTGGCCAACAAGCCCCGTGAGGCTCCAGCCACCTGTGCCCTGCAGAAAGTTCAGAGTAGACAGAATCTCCGGACAATTGTTTACCTTCGTGCTTTAAATGCTCTTCATTCTGATCCATGTATTCGAAGGAGCTTTGCTTGTCCAGCTTCTGTTTGTCTCTGTGAAATGGACAAGGTGGTTTGTAAAGAACAAGCCGGAAGACTTGTGCTCAGACGCCCTTTGCTAACGATGTTCTCGTCCCAGGGGAAGGCCCTTTGTGTGCTGTTTGTCCTGCAATGCTCACTGCTTTTCTGCACCAAGGCAGCACTGAGGCACCGCTGCTGGGGAGGTTTCCCCAGCTTTATATACAGCCCGAGGCCGTTCCTGAGGAATGTGTTCAGTGGCAAAAGGGAACAAAAATCCCAGGACTGCAAAACGAAAGGAGGGTGGTGGCAGCTGAGTCTTGGAGATGCTGCGGCTGGACCCTGCCTGCTCCAGGACCTGTCATCTCAGCTACTGCAATACTGGCCAGCAAATTTCTGGGACAGCAGGATGGCTTGAAACGCACAGAGGCTGACGTGGGGCAATGTGGGGAAACAGCCAGGGAGTGAATGAGCGTGAGAGAGATTGAGGGGATTCGGGAATTGGATTGGGATGAGATCCCAGATCTGGGGGGACAGAAGGGAACAGCATTGCAGCAGTGACTCAAGGGAAAAGGCAGGTGAGGAGTAGGGGTTAAATATACATGAGAATGGCACCGCATGACTCAGGTCAGAATCCACTGCCTGGAGCAAACAAGGAACTGACTTGTAGCCTGGGTTCTATGACAGCACTAGTCTGGGGGGGAGGGGGGGGGCTGGGTCAGGCTCCTCCACTGGGAATAGCTTGTCTTTTATCAGGGGTTTATGTCTGGGAATAGCTCAGGGCGGGTGAGAAGCAGTTAGCCCCGTCTGCCCTATTGTCGAGGTGGATATAAGCTGGTATTTAGCCTTCTCCAACTTTAAACATTTCTGGCTTTTAAAACACCAACCCACCACTTTGTAAGAAACGATTTGAAAATGAACTACAGCCGGGGTGGTGGTGAGGGGGAGCGCCAGCTGGCTGTGTAGCAGCGTTACACTCACGCACATTATTTCCAGAAACGTGAGGAACTCATCAGAACTGCAGGACACAAGCAAGCCAGGCTGTTTGTGGTCCCGGGGGAATCAGTGATGGGCAAAGAGAAACCGACAGGAGCCAGATTTTAATATTTCAATGACATCTCTGGGGATAGGGAATCCTCCCACTCTCCCTAAGTGCTGATGTTGCCTCACATGACAGAATGGGATTTGTTCCGAAGCCCAACCCTTTGCATGGAAGCTGTCCCCTCCCTTGTATCATGTACAATCATAGACTATCAGGGTTACAAGGGACCTCAGGAGGTCATTGAGTCCAACCCCCTGCTCAAAGCAGGACCAATCCCCAGACAGATTTTTACCCCAGTTCCCTAAATGGCCCCCTCAAGGATTAAACTCACAAACCTGGGTTTAGCAGGCCAATGCTCAAACCACTGAGCTATCCCTCCCCCCAATACTCTCCTTCTATGGCGTAGGCTCCGTCTGCCAGAGAGATTTTGCTCCCCATGAACCCTGCAGTGCAAATAGGCAGAGACACTCCCATTCCCAGCCCGAGTGTAACGCAGGGAGGGCGCTACTGCTAAGTCAAGGCCTTTCTTCATGGGCTTTTGGGAAGGGGGTGGACAGAGCAGGACCCAGGGCTGGACTCTTGGTCCTTATGAGGCAGTGCAGCGAGGGCAGAGATCGCCCGTCACCTGGCATGGGGACCCTCCACGGGACTAGAGCCAACAGAGCTCACTCCCACGCCTCCCTCACCACAACCCCCAGGGACGGGAGAGGGATGGGGGAGGAGGGGGCTCGGGGCACCTCGGCAATCTCCACTGGGCTTGAGGTCCCTTCGGTAGGGCAGACCCCAGGCTGTTCTGTTCTGCAGCCAGGGCAGATAATCATGTGCCATGCCCAGCGCTGTGACAGCCCCTCCTGTCTGGGGCGCGTGGGGTTATTGGGGTTATTCATTAATTCCAGGGGGGGAGGGAGGCAGTTCATTGTGGGTTTGATTGATTGCGGAGTTTGTCGAGTTTAAGTGCCCAGGGCTCTGGGGAGCCCCTTCTTGGAGAGAATAAAGACACCAAGGACATGTTACTGGGGTTGTGTTCCCTGCGGCAGACAAAAGGCCCCCGGGCCTGACTCTCTCCTGGGCTCCACAGACAGCCCAGCAAACCACATGGAGCCATTTTCTGGGAGATGATCCCCAGAGAGCTCCCAGCTTCTCAGCCAGCCCCACCCCACTAGGGTGACCAGATGTCCTGATTTTAGAGGAACAGTCCTGATTTTGGGGTCTTTTTCTTATATAGGCACCTATTACCCCCCCACCGCCTGGCCTGATTTTTCACACTTGCTGTCTGGTCACCCTATGCCCCACTCCCCTCATTGGGGTTGGCATGGATGAGAATATGCAGCGTGAGAGGACAGACTGGAAAGAAAGAATAGGCCACAAGGAAACAAATACAGATAAATACTGGTGTGTCGAAGAGAGACAGGCCTGACAGAGCAGGGGGAGCAGCCAGGGGGCGCTGTGTTCCTCTGCAATCCCCAGGATGGGGCTGGGAGCTGGGAGCCTGGTGCAGGGGAGCAGCCAGGGGGCGCTGTGTCCCTGTGCGATCCCCAGGACGGGGCCGGGAGCCTGGTGTAAGAGATCCATCAGGGAAGCTGTGTCCCTCTGCAATCCCCGGGATGGGGCTGGGAGCCGGGAACCTGGTGAGGGGGAGCAGAGTAACAGCTATTTTATTCAAGTTATATGAAAATGCTCACTTTTTGGAGGGTTTCCAGCAGGCACAGACCGTCACCAAGGTGACGAGGAGGAAAATGCCCCCAGTGGAGAGGATTATGTAGAGGGAGCTCCTTCCTAGGAGAGAGAAGGGAGAGGAATTACCGCTCACACCCACAGCGGCTGCCGTGTCACTACCTCAGCCATTACAAATCCCATTCTGCTCTCTGCAGATAGTACAAGGAGCAACCCAGCATCAGTCTGCCCTCAGCAATGCTCAGCTCGGGGTCACACTGACACCCTGCCAGGGATCCCACTGATGGAGGAGAACCCAAACAGCTCAGGAGATGAGCACAATCCTCTGTTTCTTTCAGTTCCAACACACACAGCTGGGGAGAGCTGGAGGAGATCTGGACCAACCTCTCTGGGCCCCTAGCATAAGGCAAATGAAGCAGAAAGAGACAATTTGCCCCTCTTCCAAACCTCCAGCCTGACCCCCAGGACCCAGTTAAGTGCCCTGCTTTATCATTTCCCAGGTGTTTGTCAAACACCATACCCGGCAGGGGTGCTGCAGAGGCAGTGAATGTCAGTGACTAGCAGAGAACGTTTGCTGGCCCTGGGTCTTGGACACACTGGAACTTCAGTGCCTGGGTTGGGTGGGGTCTGTGTCAGTGAGACTCAGACCTCAGGGGTTCAGGAGCCAAATTAGTGTCAACATTACCCAAAAGAGCCACAGTTAACAGTGAATTCATTGTGTCATTTACTATAGTACTATTCGTATTAAACAGTATGACGGGAAAATTTAGTTTATATTGTGACGGGGCAAGGCCACATGGCTATAGTAAAGTAGTGGGAGGCAGATATATTAGCCACAGGCTAAACAAATCCCTGTTACCAGGATAAACAAATGGCAGCTTCTCCAGATCAATTAAGACACCTGTGGCCAATTAAGAACTTTCCAGAAGGCAGGGAGGACAGCTAAGTTGATTGGGACACCTGAAACCAATCAGGGGCTGGCTGAAACTCGTTAAAAACCTTCCACTTAGTCAGGTGGGGGCGTGTGTCAGGAGCTGCAGGAGGAAGCCGTGCTGTTGGAGAGAATGAGCAGTATAAACCATATCAGGCACAAGGAAGGAGGCCATGAGGTAAGGGTGAAGTGGATATTGAGGAATTTGGGGGCTACTGTGGGGAAGTGGCCTAGGGAATTGTATGCGTCCTGTTTCTAAAAAGTCAGCTATCATAGCTGATACTATTAGGGTCCCTGGGCTGGAGCCTGGAGTACAGGGTGGGCCCGGGCTCTCCCCTTTGCCCCCTCCGATTAATCACTGAGACTGGGAGACAACAGAGACTGTGCGAGGGAGGGTTGCTTCTCCTCACCTCCCTTGCTGGCTTATGATGAAAATGGCTCAGTAGGCTGTGACCCCTGCCTCTAGAAAGAGAAGGGCTACGTGGAGGGTCACAGTGAGCCTCTGAGCTAGCGAAATCCACCAGGAAACACAGGACCCATGGAGATAAGGACAGAGCTT